GACGGGACAGTAGGTGTGTAACTAATGATGCCGCCTTATAAATGAGGCCGACACATCCGTTCACACTCACACATTTCCATTGTATGACCCTCATTATCCCTGCGGATTTATGTGATGTGCATTTATTTGTGTGCATATTCAAAAGCACAGCCAGATTAAGAGAACAGTATTTTTTTTAAAAATGTATTCAGGACGAGACCGAACGTGCGTGCCTTTCATTATTCATGTCTGGTTTAGTGGCAGTATCCTGCCGCCATGGAGAGAAGTACAAAGAGAAGTAAAAAAAAAAGGAAAAAAAGAAGTGAGGCAGGAAGGGGGAGAGGAGAGAGGAAGGACAACGTGAAAGATGAGGGAAATAGGAGAATTAGATGAGGTAAAAAGGGTCAGAGAGAAACATTATCTTTTGATGTACTTCAGTGAAACAGCTCATTACAAACCAGAGCAACAAAAGTAGAAAAAAATTCTCCAGCTCCCACACACACACACCCACATACAAAGGCACAGCAGCATATGACTGAGAATACAAAACAATCCACAGTAGCCCACAGAGGCGCGATTGACATTATAAAACATACAGTGAGAGACGGGGATGAAGGCAGGTGAGACAGTCAGAAGAAGAAGTGAGAGAATGAAAAGAAAGTGAAACATCTCGGTATTTCTCTGGCCCGGTGCACTGAGGGCATTCCAGGATGGAGGGAACTCTTTATACTCCACCTCCTCCAGGCCTCAAGCTGCCTTTCAGCTCCCTCCCTCAATACTTTGAGTCTCTCCCCTCCCTCTCTCTCCTTTTCCCTCTTATCCATTCACTTTCTCATCACCCCTTCCTCCCCTGCTGTGGATTTGCACCCGCCTCCTCCAAATTCCACTCAGTTATTTTCATTTTGGGTAATTTTTATTCCGCCGATGTTTATTCATGACGAGGTTCTGAGAGAGAGATAAGAAGCCAAGTGCTGAGCTGGCCCCGAGGGCTGCAAGGGCTCCAAGTCAGTCTGTACACACACACAAACACACAACTCAAATGCACATAAACACACACACACACACACACACACACACACACACACACACACACACACACACACAAGCACATGTTTGCATACACGCTCACGTAAGGACACAAACATGCTAACCCTGCCTTAAACAGACACACACCGTTTTTTTGGTTTCTCATCACGTACAAATGGAGGTGTTTAGTCTGTGAAACGCCACTGTCGTTATCAGATTGAGACGGAGCCGGCTGCCTCCCTTCACTGTGTCTGTTTGTCAAGGAGAAAATCTATTTTTTTTTTTTTTCTCTGAGATGTCAGTACCAAAACATGCCTGACCCTCATCTGTCAGCAGTGTTTATCATAATATCATGACAGACACACACACCCCACAAGGGAGGCTGTTTCTCTTCCAAAAAAAAAAGACAACCCCCCCTCCTACCCTCATATGCATAGTTGTGTTTGCATGTTGCCTACTTCCGTGTGTGCAAGTGTGCATGTGTGTGCAGACAGATTTGCAGTTAAAATGGCCAGAGGGAAGACGTGGATGTACTGTGAATAAAGTGAGCAAAAGACACAGAGAAAATGAGGCGTTTGTTTCTCAGAGTGGGTTAAAATCCCTTCTTATTCAGTTTCACGGGTTCCCAAAATCTGCTCAGACACTTTCCTATTTCGGCACCTTTCTCTAAGTCCCCAGACAATACACACCACCCTGATCCCTGTCTGTGTCTCTCTTCTGCACCTTTTCCCACCTCTCCAAATCCTGAGAAGCCAGCGACTGAGCCTGAGATCGTGTCTGGCATGGGGCGTGCCAGTTTGATCACAAAGGTAAAACTCCCTAAAACAACTAGCTGTAACTACACTTTCGGGTTTTAATTCAGGTTCCACAGACAGGCTGCAGTCTGACCATCTGTTAGAAAACCACACAATGTTTTTGAAAAATTTCCTTACTGGTCTACTTTTCCCTACCCTAAAAGGCCTAACGTATTCCAATAGATTAACTCCCATGCCCAGGAGCTCTGATAACCCAGTATGCGCTGATTTGCAGGTGAAAAGACCTTTGACCTGGACATTTTTAGTGTTACATGAATGCCTACAGTACATGACCACCCTTCCAGCCACATTACATGAATACTCTGCAATGTGAAGCAGGTTCTAACTACATATTGAAAGACTACTTGAGTACCTCTGTCAGGGGAAAACACTTCTCTCGTTAGCATGAAACGTCTTGTTGGTGGTCCTGGCCTAACTTCCCAGATATATTGACATCAGTACTTAGTCCCTCAGTGCTGTCCAATTGCAAGCTGGGCAAGGCGCACAAGTAATTAAAATGAAGGCCAGGAATTTTTTTTTTTTTTTTAGTTTTATAGCCATGTCGAAAAGACACTGTTGTCAAGAGCCTGGAGAAATCTACTGCTTGCTCTGCCAAAGACAGAACCACAAAGAACTTAGTGGCTGGAATTCATTTTTACCAGGTTCCCTCAACTATTCAAACGTTTTACTGAGGCGCTTTATGGACTGCTTCAGAAACCGTGCACAGTTCGACGCGGGATTTACGCAGTGGTCATTTCTGAAGGAGAAGGCAGTTCCCACTTTATGTCACACAAGCGGTAAGTATGTATTATTTGTGGATTTGTGATATTTAAGCGGGTCGCCGATGATCTGGTTGCGTTAATACCAAGCAGGGACAACAGCACAAAGATAGAAATGGGTTGTCAATATTGACACGCTATACCTCTCGCTAGCACAGATAAATTACCCACAATTTAACCAATCAGTTCACTTTTCAGTAACTATGAGCACGAAGTGTAAATAATTCAGACTTACCAGCATCTTAAACCAGCAAGCAAGCAAAGCGGTGGTGAAGCGGTTATGATGTCCCTGTTCATTCCTCGATTGTTTATATTCCTTTAGTCCATAAATGCCCAAAGATTTAAAACAAAAAACAAACAAAAAAAGAGTTTTTCATAAAAGTATTCCAAGTTATGGATACTGTCATGTGAAGTCCATTTCAGTCTCTAGAGCGACTTTGTTTGCAGTAATTCTCTCCACATTTCCACCATCTTCTCCCGACGGCCCGGCACTGGGCATGCGTGTTTTCCTGCTCCCGCCAAGCTTGCAAAGGTCGACCGAGTCTATCATCTCGTCGTTCACGATCAAACCGATTGTCCAAGGCTGAACAGACGCCATTTAATAATTGCAACGTTCGTTTACATCTGCGCGAGAAAGCAGGATATGGGCGGAACGCGTAGTTGCCGGGAAACTGACCAATCAGAGCCCAGTGTGGTCTGATTGGTCATCTTCAGGTGTGCCTTAAAGAGCCCTGAGCTCAAACGTAGAAGCAGTATCACATTTATTGCAAAGTAGGTTTTCACATACAAGGAATTTGCTTTGGTGTTTTGGTGCATAGAACAGTAAAAGATATAACAATATGAGAAAATAATGTCTTTTTAGTAACATTGACGCATGTTAATCTAGTAGACACCAAGAATACAACAATGAAGATTAAAATGGCCTTTCTAAAGGAAGTTGTTCCTTGCTACTGCCATCAAGTGCTCGTTGTTATTTAGCACTATATAAATAATGACTTGACTGGACTTAAACTGTGCCTTAAAGCCCAGATAAACCTGATTAAAACCTGATTCTGCAAACAGCTTCTTACCACGAGAAATGGAGTCGTACATGAACATACAATTTTTCTGTCAGCACAGTTTTGTTTTTTTCACATGAGAGATTTCTGTGTCTGTGTTTTTGTTTCTGTGCTCGTTTCACTGATGCAGGTGAGGCTCAGTTGGAAAAATGTCACACTGATCAAACCACACACACACACACACACGTGCACAGTCCTGACCAAGCATTTTGGCTTTGTTTTATGAGTCAAACTCTTAATAAATAATACCAAGGGCAGGGTGTTTTTTCCAGTATTCAACTTTGAAAGCTGCTGGTTTAGACATAAATATTTAATGTTGTAAAGAGAATTTATTTTAAGATTTCAAACCAATTTTGGGGGCTTGGACTGAACAGGAGACTAAAATGTAAACTAGGGATACATTGATCATTTTGTGTATCTTGAGTTGTTGACCTCTCAGTAAATCTCCCTGAATACAGATGTATACTAAAACAGATAAAGCAGAATATGTAATAATATAATGTTAACACTGATGACTCATGTCATTTTAGATATTTAACAAAATTTTCTTGGATATTTAAAAAAAAAAAAAAAAAAACTATTCCTTGGTCTCACAATCACCAGTGAATTTACAGATACAGAAGATTTTCAGACAAGAAAGTTGGAATAAAAAGAACATGTCTGTAACACGAGCACCACCTGCTGGATGTTGGCTGCAGGTGCAACATATTTTGGTTGATCTGAGGATGCCATATGAGTCAGAGAAAAAAAGAGAAAAATCAGTGACAATAAAATACTGCAAAATTATTTTAACATATAAAATTTTCAGTGTGATTGATTCAGTGTTTTTTGGTTTGGTAAAAAAAAAAAAAAAATCAATAAAAGAAAAGCAGACAGCGGAATAGCCCAGCTAAGCTCAGAATCACTGCTTGAGGCTGTGTAGCCATTCAGCCTCAGAGCCTGAGGATATTTACGCAACCGAGTGAAATGCCATCTTCTAAGGAGTCTTGACATTGACCCCCTTCGCCACTAGATGGGGAAGTGGGGCAGCAGAACCGAAGAAAACGGTCCTTTCTCCTCTGGTAGGAGACCTGGATTTGATCCCAATTTTAGGCTGCACGTACGCCGCTCATCTGCGGCCCTGAAGCAGACAGCCTGGTTCCTCGGACGTCATATGATAAAGACTGGAGGAGAGCCAGAGGCAGGGCCCCCGTTTGGAGAGGAGGACCCATATCTCAGTCAACGCGAGCAACCAGGGCCCCATTATCTCCACAAGGCAGGGAGGCGTATCCTTTTCCCCTCTGCACTCCCCTTCACATACCACTCTGACTCTCTCACCCCCCCACCCCCACCCCCCCCGCCCCCTCTCTCACCCATACACTAACTAGACTACAACCTGCTTCAGACGACGCCCCGTCGCCCATGAGATTTGCACCTCCGTCGTGCGTCTTTTCCGCTCTAGAGGATATCAGTGTGGTCTTGTCATCATCATCATTATTATTATTGTCGGGCTGTGCGCGCGAGCTGCCCGCGGCATCACCTCACCAATAACAGACGGGGTGCCAGTCAGAAGAAGAAGAGGAAGAAGAAGAGAGGGAGGAAGAGGAGGAGGAGGAGAGGAACGGGGTGACAGAGTATTCCGAATTGACGCTCAGAAATAAACAAGTAGACAGACAGACACCCTGTTTGGAAGACCGTCTGCGGCGGGAAGCGAACGGGATCTGCAACTGAGTAAGTCGTGATTTCTCTCGTGTGCAGCGGTTGTTTTCCAGTGGCTGACCTGCTTTTGGTGATTTGTTCAGAGGATGGTTGTGCAGCGGCGCAAATATTTAAGCTTCCAGCCCGGCAGCATCCTTCCTTGATTCCGTCAGGAGGGATGACAAGAGCGGGACAGAGGGACGGGGACAAGGGAAAATACAAAAAATAGGAAAAATATTTATGTAGGAGTGAGATTCCTCACTGTAAACACTGTGTCGATCGCTGCGTTAATGTGAGGTTACAACTCAGTAATCACAAGAGGCGCAGCATCATTCAAGGGGACATACATGCACGCTCAAAAATAACAAGCTGCACGGTGAAGTCAGGCGCTGATTTGGAGGTGAATTGTAGAAAAAAATGGCTGCATTGTTATGTCATGTCAACATCCTCTATTGCATGCCTAGAGGGCCGTTTTACTGTACTGTACTTCCAAGCGAGCCAGGACGACAGGTGTAACAGGATGACATGTTTACGCGAATGCTTTTGATGATCCATCATTGTAACATCGACCTGTTTGCGAGGACAGTGTTTCAGGATGTTTTTTATTTATTTTTTAATTTGCCCTCGACGGGGAATTTTCCAGTGGCGCCAGCCGGGCATGGCCGTCACTGCATGGGTGAGAGATGCTGACTGGCTACAGGCTGTAGGAGGAGAGGAGAGTAACAGGGTATTCTATGGTGTGTTGTGATGTGAGCAGTCTGCTCTAACATGGCGCGCATGAGCTGATAAACCTTGGCCATTACATACTCCTGTCTGGAATTTACACTGTGCAGTGGGCCAGGCAGTTTGGGTTTAGGGTAGCAGAGAATGAGACTGAGTGCATCTCCCTAACAGCCTGAGGTTTAGCTCCAGTTCATTTCATCTCAGGTTGCCACCGGTGATAGAGTCCGGCTCCTCCATCCTCCTAGAATATCACGTAGGCTTGTGTTTATATTCTGGAGCTGTTTTCTATTCCTGTCTCTGGTGATGTAATTATGTTTGATCACAGCAGGTATGGACACAACTGGACAAAGAGTGTGTTTTTGTTTCGTCTTGTGTCCATTGTCTCTCTCCAGGGGTCTCTACCCTGTGAACCGATGTCACTGTTGTGGACAACACCTTTGTTGACAAGACCGGCAATTGCATGATGACAGCACAGAGTTTATAAACACAACACACCCATTACATACGTGCGTGTCCTCGAAGTCCAGACAGGATATTGACTCTTTGTTTTGTTCATTACAATAGACAGAGTGACACCTGTTTGTTTCCTGGGAATGCTGGGAAAAATCTGTGCAGTGAAAGTGACAGTTACTTTAAGCACGACATCTCATCTGCTTGTCACATCATCCCAGGTGTTAATGTGGGTGTTGATGTTGAAAAGGAGCCAAAGTGACTTGATTTCATGTCCTGAGGGCGTAATTTTCTAGGTGGAGACGTGCAAGGAATGATGTGTTTCATTAGATGAAGAAGTGTTCACTGCAGGTCACATTTTTTTAGCTCTCCGTTGCGATTATCCGTGCTGTGTCACAGCTTGAACTTGAGAAATCTAGCAGTAATAATTTGAAGTAGACAGTGTGAAAGATCAGTGAAGAGTTGCACTTGTTTAGTGAGAAAATAAGGAACAGACGGACAAAAGATGGAGGGAATGAACTTATCAGTAGCACATGTCTGTCACTGTTCGTCGTCTGTTCTGTCATTTTATTGTATGTGTGAGACATGTTAAGTCCACCACAGGCCTCAGCCTGGCCGAGTGTGAGCTGAGGGTCTATATCCGGTTGGCTGCTCTGTGTTGTGTCAGCAACTCGCAGCGGAGCTGACAGCACTTGTCTTGTCCGACCAATCATCGTTCAGCATCATGAGTCTGGACAGCAACATTTCGGTGCGTGTGTGTTTTTGTGTGCTTGACTGTATGCATCCATGTGTGTTTGCACATGTGCAGCTTTTGTGTGCATTGTCTCTGCATGTATACCAGAAACAAAAAGATGGATAGTAGTGTGTGTGTGTTTGTGTGTGTGTGTGTGTGTGTGTGTGTGTGTGTGTGTGTGTGTGTGTGTTTGACTGTCTCCTAATTGGGCCCTGGTATGGATGTGCTTTCACTAATTTAGATAGGGGAAATAGGCTGGTAACCAGAAGGTCAGTCATTGCTAATCTTGGACTGTCAGTGAAAATTGAGGCAAAATGTGAGTGAATAACACTCTTTACTATTAACTACATTCAAAGTGCACTTCAGTTAGCTCTGAAGCCCTGACAGCTCAGATAGAAATCCATAATGAGCAGCACTGGGAGTGAATGTTCATGCTGAGCAGCTCCTTGAAGTGAAAGTGTAAAACTGTTACCAAAAAGTGCACACTCACTAACGGTGCTGATAAACACTCTTTAAATAGGCAGAGGACGTCTAAGTGACACCACAGTGTTGTTGATGATATCCATGCAAAAAAGTAGACTTGGCACAGATCTATCTCAACAACCCAATGCTCACTTACACTATCAGTGAAGTCACACACGTGTGTCCCCTACACATTATGTAGGTGACTAACTAATCAGTATTTTTCTATTAACAATTGATCACATATCTACTTGTATGTGAAAGAGGCCGCAGTTTCCCTCAGTTCTGTAGTGCATTGTGGTATCTTTCAGCTCATTGCTTTGGTTCACCCGTTCTGGTTCAGTCTCATCAATATAATTTCAAAGACACAGCAGGCAGTTGTTTTCAGCTAAAAAAAAATAAAAGCTCTGATAAACCAACTGTGTGCTACCTGCCCAGCACAGTGGAGCATTTAGCTGCTTAAAGCCAGATAGTTAACCTTTAGGAGTTAGTGGAGACAGCAACAAATGGGCAACTGCTCGTCATGTAAACTTAAAATATGTCAGTGTCAGTGTTGTGTGTACAGATTGTTTCTGCCGCCCCCCGAGTGGCCAAGAAATCAGTTAAAGCAGGTTTACAGACAATGCTTCGGGGATTAAAGGCAACGTCTACATTGAAAGTGACAGCAATAGGTCTGCTGTTTTAATTTTATCTCTGCTATTGCACTGACAGCATTTCTGTGGCATAACTGGTTGGTACAACATCATTACCAGAGGACAGCAGGCCTCTCATGGGTTCATATCCTGCCCTGAGCGAGTAGCCCCAGAGTGATAGATACAGCTAATTACCCCGGCCGACCTTGCTGTCATTAAGAAACCATTTATGATGTGGTTATAAAATCAGATCAGTAAGCTGCTTGTGGAAAATGAATGGCATGCATTACAGAAGCCCTTACAGCCACTGTTTTGTGCTGAAACATGGTATTGTAGGGTGAAAGAGGAAGTTGAAGTGAAAGCTTGCTAAGCAAGCATAAAGAGTGATAAGGAGTAACATCTGGGCTCTGTGATGTGAGATATTATTAGATAATGTGATGTACTCCACCTTGCTCTTTCTGTCTACATGTTTTTTTCTCCGTCTATTAATCTCTGCCTCCTCTTTTACTCCTGGATAGTCACTTTTTCTTTCTTTTTCTTTTTTTTGACTATCTCTCATTACAACCCCCCTCCTCCTTGCTGCTTTGTCATGACAGATAAGGCAAGAGAGGATTTGTTTTTTTCACTCTCTTCCCAGCAGATAGTCTGTCTTCAGATAAACTGTCATTTTTAGCCACTAAGTCTTTTTTAATCTCAGGGGGAAATGTGCTCAGCACTGTGTTTGTGCATTTGTGTGTGTGTGTGTGTGTGTGTGTGTGTGTACAGAAACCTGCACACACCCACACACTCATATGATGATCATCAGTGTTGTTGCAAAGATGATATCAAAAGCACTATTGATAAGCAGCAGAGAGGGATCATCCATCTTTTTGCACTGTAGATAACCTTAACATAACAACACATAAACACACACACACACACACACACACACACACACATACCCATGAACATCTGGTTTAAGGGGAAGAAGGAGAAGGAATATTAGGTCTTGTCTCATTGTAAATGAAATATAGAATTTTTATAGTCCCAGAAGAGGCTGGACAAACATACGTAGCATAAACAATTCTTGAGCCTCTTGAGAGCTTTAAGTGGGGATTGGGATCTTGCCATAAGGGAAGGTACCTATTTGGCCTAATGGTTCCTGTGTTGAGAGGCTGCTCCAATAATGCAAGTGCATAGGCTTCTTATATCCGGATATATAGTTTGCTGATTGACCAGAGAAGCAGATGAACACGAGGACATAGGAGACTATGGGATATGCTATGGTCTGTCTGTAAACATAAAAGCATTGCTGTCAGCAGGTCCTATTGATGCTAATGTTGTTACATTGCTTTCACAAAAAGATGCAGACTGAGGTAAAGGTCAATCATTAGATCCACTACCCTATTCTTTAATCATTCTAGTTTAACTCTCCGATCTTTTTGAAATACTTGATAATGAGAGACATAAACGGACATTTGAAACGGACGTTCTCAATGTTGTCTTTGTAGTAACTTTGTTCATTCCCTTGTAAAAATGAACTGCTGGTAAATCAGAACAGAACAAGAGCTAAAAGGCCTTTATGTCATTCAGTGATGGTGGTTGCCCACATTTAGATTTTCTTATTCTAACTCCAGCCATGAAACATCCCGACACGGAGCAATTAGTGACATGAAAGACGCTATGCACGTGGTTTTTCTACAGTCTACAAGCTGAACCTGTGTTCCGACCTCCATGCAATGGCAGCAGTCAAAACACAGGGATCAATAAAGTGTCACAAGAGCCGTAGACTCTGCATGCTTTCCCTGGATGTATAAAAATGAACAAGCGAAGACCACGACTCGACAGATTCGCAGTGTAAAGATAATGTTACTGTTGCAGAAGTAATGAAGGTCGAGTGTGGTCAAGCGAGGAAATGTGGGCATGAGGCGAATCGATGAGGAGGAATCCAGGGGGAAGAGACAGGGTGAAGATGTCTCTTTGAGGAGACTTACAAGAGGCAGAACAAACTTTTTTTTTTAACTTTCCAAAATCGAGAATAGAGCAATTATGCC